GCTGAATTAAATACATACATAGAATATACACAAACAATATATAAAACTTTAAGAATTTAATATACTTACTAGCAATTAAAATAATGTTTTTAAGATTTTTGTTTAAATTACATCATTTTGGAGCTTTAGGACACTCGAAAATTAAATAACAATAAAAAAGGGCCTTTGAACAAGATCAGGGCCTCAATGCTGCTATTTTATGTTCACGCCAAGTCACTGTCATACCACTGACACGCTATTGAGATGCCATCGAGTGGTCATTGGCATCGGTACAAATATCGGTAGTCTACACTAACTCAGTGTCTTTACAGTGGTAATGGAATGGCAGTGGCTCATCAGTGGTGATATCAAAAAGATTGCCATATTTGGAAAAATAAATAAATCGTTTCCTTATAATTTGAAAATATACTACGTTTTTTACTGAGTTAGTGTAGATTATTGATTGGTGAAGAGTTTAGTTAGGGCCAATCACAACAACGAACGCGGTAGCTGTGACCATCGTTTCGATGTGAAATAAATTTACACTAGGCCCTCAGAACAGACTTTATACGTAGAAACCGTCGATTATATATATATGCACATATATTATGCAAAAATAAACAATCATATTGTTTGAATTGTTGTACATGTATACGGACAAAACATCTCAACACTACAAAAATATAATTACTTATATTACAACACTATTACTATAAAACATGTTTAAAAAAATGTCAGTCTACATATAACTTTTATCTTTCCACAGAATTTTATACCAATTTTATTTGTTACGTGAGTTATTAATTTATTACATATAAATACATTTATATACAATTCATTACAGATTATTTTTGGCACATATAATGCTCCAACAACATTAACAGTTAGTTTTACTAACGTTTATAACACGTATTTTAAGTACATTTTTATAGCAAATTATTCATTTAAGTACTAAAAGCTTGAATGTCGAAAGTCCGGTGACTTATGAAGACTTTAATATAATTTTTTTCATGTTTATCTGTATTTTAATATCACAGGAATTTCGATATTCATCATTCTAAATATGAACAATAAAACTTATTTTTTTAACGTATATTCTTTACTGTTATAGACAATTTGTTAAATATTAAATGTATGACTAAGTAAAATACTTGAATAAAATTAAATTAATACGTCTGACTGACGTCACTATTAATTATTTTGTAATATAAACATAGTATACTAAGGTTACGGAAAGGATTATACGTACTTTATCAACATACTGTGTCTCAGTATCATTAAACATCAACATCAACAGCTTTCAAGACTCCACTGCTGGACATAGGCCTCCTTAGAAAAAAGGTTTTGACCTGCTTATACTACGCTGGCCAGACGGGTTGTTATAGGGTTTGTTTCAAAATTTCCTTCTCTTTGCAGTGTTGTTGTCCTGCGTAGTTTGCTCCCTTAGTCGGCGATTACGACACCCATGGGATGAATAGGGATTGTGACACTCCGTATTCTTCTTCCGTTACCATACAAATAGTCTAGTGTTTTACTGTATGACTCTATAAACAAAAACTCTTGCAGAAATAAATAGTAGTAACAATTTTAAATAACTTAAACTTAAATTAACTATTTTCCTGCCAAAGAACATACCCCTCTATTATTTATATAAAAATTAAACATTTAAGTCACATACCACACATCACGATATAACTTGGTTAATGAGAGACACATTTCTGGTAAGTACTAGAACGATATTATACATAATTACCTACATTATTATATGGCAGTGATTTTTAAAATAGTCAAACTATACTAAAACCATAGTCAGTAGTGGTTGTGACAAACTCTGAACATAAAGTGACATTTCATATATTCTGTAATTTTAAAACATAGAAGATGACACCCCCCCCCCCCCCCCCCACGCTTGTAGAAATAAAAGCGGTAAAGGAAAAAGAAATCGTTTATTTTTTTCTTATTCGCGTAAAGATGTTTTAAAACCGTTATTATATTTTAGTACATGTTTTTAACTGAATTGAATTATTGATTGTGCCTCACACGTGTTCTTTATAGTTGATGTCTTTCCTAATATTCAGCAACGAGAAAAAATTCCTTTATCTTCAAATCAAACACAATTAAATTGAAAATTCAGTAACTTTAAAAGGTACTTTAGACGGTAATTTACGTTACAATCGTCAATTATTGAGATCATTTTTGGTTTCGATCAATAAGACTACAACACAATAAGATTCATACAAGACACAATAAGATTCCCTAACAAAAATGGAATTCTGAAATACAAATGTATACGTGCGGAATGTAATCATTCAATAGTTTATAGAGAACTTCCTAAACGGGGACATCTTAAATTTTATTACAATCATAATACACAGAAAAAGAATAATATTGTTGCAGTCACCACATTAACACTAGATCCTGATTATGAGATGTTTTGGCCAAGTTCACGAACTTTATAGAACTTTCTTTGAGACAAGTCCAGCCAATAGTTTCCGCTACGAGTTAATTGATTAAAACTATTTCTGTTTTTAATAATTCAGTAATTGATTTCTTCCTAATATTGCACGGTTAGAGCAAATGAAAAAGTTCAGTTCCCTAAAAACTGAACTGAAGTAAATTAAAAGGGTAGATTTATTTTTTCAAGTTTAAAATGTGTGGCGAAAACTTCAGAAAACTTTTCAGATAAGGTATGAATTATTCCTCATAAAGATAAGGCAGATACGAACTTTTTCAATTACGGAACATAAAAAGTTTGAAAGTAGTTAATATTTAGTATGTCATCTTAATTTATGTTGCATGTAACACACATTTTAATTTAATATTAATTAATAATAAGTTAAATGCTTTGAATATAAATGTATTCAGACGACGATTGAAAAATAATAGTTCTGAATATTATCTGAACATTATACTGTGTGAATATTTTTATAAAAGTGTATTTTTTTAGTGAATTCAGTGAATTCATACAAGAAATTTCTCTTATAATGTAGATATGCAGAGAATAAATGTTGTATTAACAGAAATAATAAACTTGATATAAAACAACTAAATTTAGAGCACGCCGTTCAAATAAACCTTATAGCTTTGAAAAAAAAAACAAAAGATAATTTATATAAAATATTGCCAACCAATAAAAGCCGAAATCTTAAATTGCGTTACGCTATAGAAACAAAATCCTTTATTATCAAAAGTCAATTTTATGTGCGACAACCCTTGCCAAGCATTTCGAAGTAAATTATTTAAATGAACTTTTTACGCTAGACGCAACCCTAGCAGAAATTAATGTAAAACTAATTCAGCAAATATACAAAGAAATGAGAGGAATAAACTGTTTTTATGTTAGGACATATATCACGGACGTTTGACAAATGGCCCATTCTATTTATCATCCTGTCCGGGGCAGATGACAAATAGGAACCGAAGAAATAAAGCCTAGCGTGTCTCTTATTTTAAGAAAAACAATTATAAATGAACTCACACCAGTTATAAAGTAAAAAGACAAATTAAAAAAATAGTAACAGGATTTACAGGAATATTTATTATGCTATAAGTCCTCTCGCTCAATCTCTATGGTTTTGTATGCTCTGTTTCACTAATAGTAAGGAATATGAACTAAGAGTTTTGGAGTCCAAATTCGTTCAAGATTGGTTGAGCCATTCGTCCTAAAATGCTACAGATGGACTGACAGGTAGACGTTATAAAATAAACTTTTACATTTTTAACGATAGACATTGAGATAATTTATTTTAATACAATATTAGAAAAAAAAAAACCTATAGACACCTAATAATAAAGGTCTCGCTTTTCACCGTTTACAATATCGTAACAAAATCTAAAAAAATATGTCATTCTTAGCTTATGGGTTTACTTTAAGGGTCGTCACCCCTATTATTCCCATACTTTACGGGGTAAGGATATTATATTAAATATATCTACATTATAGATGAAAAACAATAAAATTAATGCATAGCTTCATATTAGACGATTGTGCGGTTTTCCTGGCTAGACCATTTGTGAAATTGGAAAAATGAGTAAGTACTAGTATTTGAAGTTGCTCCTATAATTTAAAAAGTTCTATTTCCTAATAGAAATCCACATAATTTCTGTGTAACAGTGGCTACATATCCTTTTAATAGATGAATAAAGTCGGAAGGACAGAATGATATGACTCTTATATCGAAGTTTATAGTATTAAAATTAGGCGAATGTGATTTTCACATCATTTCTTTATTCGCATCGTAGTGATAGCGAGTTCAGAGTTATTGTTTTAGTTTAGCTTTTGAAACAAGCTTTGATCAAATCTCATTGTAATATTTTGGATGTAGCCACGATTTAAGTGGAAGCGACAACAAGATTCTTGTTTAGGGGTTTCGCTAAAATTTGTTGTAAAAAAACCTTATTAATTCATTTTATGACAAAGATAAAAGAAAAGATACAGCTATCAAGAATATTGTAAAGAATATTCAGATATGAAACATTCAATAAGTTTTCTTTAACATCATGAAAAGAATCATAAAGAAAGTGGTACATACTCGCGTCTTTTATCTCCAAAGAAGTAGACAGAGCCGTATTAAACGGCCACATTTTGCTGATTATAATTTTAGCAACATTTATGTAACAAGGAACTTTGAGGTGACCAAAAATAAGAAAAATACTGAAAAAAACATCCTTTTATGTAAGCCTACTTAAAGTGCCTTGATGGGTTCAATTATTCGAGTAAAAAAGAAATCTAATGATAAATATGGCAGGCTTAACATTAAAAGCTTCGGGTACTTAATTGTGGTAACTATAGGCTTTGGTCCGTCGAATAATTTATGTCCTTCAAGCAAACAACATTCTATCATCGATACTTTCACAAAGTTTCAACTGAATACTATTTGTAGTTGAAGTACGATAAAATTAAATAATCAAAACTTTCCTTCTTGTCATATTCGTTCAATTATTTATATATTTTCATCATAAATCTATTCGATTATCTTAAACAATACAACAACCACTACATCCAATAAAAAAGGGTGTTTTCATACAAAGCTCTCTTTAGTTTTGTAGTCGTATATAAATATATTATTTTCTTTATCAAGTGTTGGTATACAAACAAATTTATTTCTTCCCTCAACCGAGTCACTTACATCTAAAGTAATAGAATAAACATTGTTAGTTTTTACATCTAAATTTAATATTTGTATTTGTTTATTGTTCTCATTAGCAGTATCTATTGATAATAGTTCGTTAGAACAATGATTATTGTGTACCTCAGCACATGTGTCATTATATGTTTCATTAAAAGCAGCAACAAATTTCATACTGTTACGTCTTGTGTTCTCAACATTTATTATTTCGCCTACTTTCATTTGTTTCACATTTTCTTCTTTGATCTTTTTACTTTCTTTTTTAACAAAATACTTTAGCGACGACGTTCTATTACTGTATCTTCTCCAAAAAGATTCAGAAGTATTCTGACTGCTAGAAAATCCTGTTGATATGGTTGTATTAAATGTGTCCCTTCTTTGCATTGTCTCCCTCAAGCTTCGACTACACCTCATTAACTTATTTATCCTTAATAACTTTACAAAACCTTCTCTAAATTTAGACGACATCAAATTGTATAATATTGGATTGATTGCCGAATTCAAATACAGCATCACTCTACAAAAATATAAAAGTATATAGTAACCATCTATACCTAATGACATTATTGTCTCTGGTGGAAATACGATTATCCAAAGCGTGAGTGCTTTGAATGGAAGGAGGCAGATGAAGAATGATAAGACAACGGTCCCTAGCATGAGGATGACTTGTTTCCTATATCGTACAACGTTTCCCGTATTGCTGGTATTTTTGCTGTTCTGTGCAATGATAACGGGATTTTCCATGAGGTTTTTGGCGATGACACTGTACAGAACGAGGAGAACTGCAAGAGGAACTATGAAGAACACGGCGATAGTGAGGATGAAGAACAGAGCTGACCAGAAGGTGTCGGCTTGTGTGAGGCAGACGGGTACCTCGGTTCCGTCATCAAAAATCTCGTAGGTGAATGTTGCCACGCCAAGGATGGGACTGAAACAAACAATTAAATATAAGTATATGTGTATTTCCTTTTTGTTTTATTTTTGGATTTAGAGTTTTAATAATTTGATATTTTATTTATTTATTTATACATCTTTATTGTACACAGTATATATTGTACAGACATGGATGGACATCTACATTTTTGTATTACAATAGGCAGTCTAATCGCTCACGGCGGTCTCTTAATTTTACACGGCTTTTGTTTAATCTGATTTAGGTAAGATCGTGTACTTTAGATAATTAATATATATATAAAAGTAAACATACTAAATACGCTTAAAATATACATACTACTAACACATATAAATCGATATAAATAATAAATATATATAAAGGTTATAAAGGTTAAACCTGTGATGTACCAAGTATTAACAAACAATCAATATCCCTTCAACAGCCCTTACAATGTCAAGTAGTAATTTGTGACTTGTTTTTTGAATAATTGCAATGATTTAACTTTTTGCACCAAGAACGATTTGTCACTAAATTGTGTGGTATGCTTGGGCATTTTCAACTGCAGATTCTCTGATGATCTCAGGAGCCTGCAATGTGAATTGTGTAAGAACTCAAAACGTTCTTTAAGATAGGACGGTGAATGTGGTAAGAAAAGAATACTGTATAAAATAGAGAGACGAAAACCCGATTGGCAAGGATTTAGGAGGCAATTTTTAGAAAGAAGAGAGCTTACCTGTGTGTGGATATTGGACGATAGTCTGAGTGAGCAGAAGGATTACATTTTTTAGAGAGAGGAGTGATTTGAGCCATTTTCCACGCTGATGGAAAAACACTATTTGAAAACGGAATAATTAAGGATATGGCAAATCACAGGGTGGATTTCATCTAGGCCAGGAAGTACCATATTACGGCTGATATTGTCTGTTCCTACTGCGTTAGAAGTTATAGATACTACGCTCTTCTTAACATCACAAGCAGAGAATTGACTGAAAACAAACGAAGGGCAGTAAGGAGTCGGCACAGATGAAAGATAGTTTAGCGTACTAGTTTTAGTAGTTCCCCCAAAATGACAGGACGCAGAAAAATATGTATTTAAGGAATTGATATCAACATGTTTTGAAACAGAATTTGAGCATGATTTGCCGACCGCCAATGTCTTAAGAAATTTCCAGACTTTAAATGGATCACCGTTTTCAATAGATTTACGAATGTTCCGGCGTTGAGCATTCCTACATACGTTATTGCAGTGATTTCTAATATGGACAAATTTATCCCAATTTGAGGTACTAGGGTGACGCTTGTGCTTACAATGCGCCTGCTATTTCTTTCTCTGTAATTCCTTGATTTCATCAGTTACCCAAGGGGCGGACAGATGCCTTACCCTAATCAGACGCATTAACTCGTTTGAGAAATAGGAAACTTTTTCATCAATGCATTGCGAGTTGAACAACATACTCCAATCAAGAAAGAAGAAGATCACCGAGATTCATCCTACGAAAATTGCGACAGGAAAGTGTTTTGGATTTAGGTTTAGGAGTAGGAATTGGATAGGACAGAAAGATGAGGTCGTGATAGGAGAAGGAATCAGCAGAGCACTGACCATTTGGCTATATGCTCTGCTGAAGAGACAATGATGAGATCAAGGAGAGAAGAATTGCGGTTTGGCATACTATGTGTGGAATTGAGTGGCAGAATAAAAAGATTGTTAGAATCCATGACCGATCGAAGAAAGGAAGAGCGAGAATCGTTCTTAAGTAAACAGGTATTAAAGTCACCCATGGCATGACTGTACGGGTGTTACGGTACGAGGTGTTAAATTTTCCAAGATTATTTAATTTGAATAGAAATAATCTACTCGCAAGAAGGGACAATAATAGATACCGAGAAGTAATTTTTAAGTGTTTGAGTACCAAATCTATGAAAATATGCTCGCCAGCATTTGCAGGGGGTGGTTGAGATGACATACTAACAACGGAGAAAGAAATGGGAGTACGAATGTATATGGCATCACCACCGCCTCGTCCACACATACGATAATTCCGTACCAACTGAAAGCCGGGTAACGAGTATCATGTGGTAGGTAAGCATGGCTTTAACCAAGGTACCGATATAAGGATGGTGTGTATGTTCCTACAGTTTAAGCTAGTTAGCATATCACTGAAATGTGCCGGAATGACATTGATGTTCCTGGGAGAACTGAGCCGAGATTGTAAAACTGGTGTAAACTTATAAAACTGGTGACACTACTAGATACCGAAAAATAATCTTCAGTATCGCCATTACCGGTTGATGAAGTCATTGGTTTAGCTTACAAAAGAAAATACATCTCTTGTAAAGTATAAATGAAGAAGATATTAATGTGGTTTTGAAACACCACAGATAATGATAATTCAGAAATTGTCTAACTAAACTTTATTGTTACCATAATCATCATATGAAAAAAGATATAATTAAGATTAATAAAGAAATACCTAGAAGTAGCAAATACCTTAGATGCTTGACAGCAAGTTAGTAAAATAATTAACAATAAAGTGCTGTGGTATTGCAACCACCTTATGTACCACCTTTTTCTATCATAAAATCAGTAATTTAAGAAAGCTGAAAAGAATTTTCATATCAACCATCCAGATTTCAGATTCTGTTTTACTGAGATAAATTAAACCATTCACAATTTATTACTCGTTGATTTAAGAAACTGAATATAACACCCACTCTGCAACATTATTAATTTATCTTGTTCTCTTATGGTAGACCTAACAAAAAATAATCTCGACCGAAATGTAATCTGTCGTAGTAATTGTAGCGGAAAACGAATATAGCAAGTGCTTCCAATCAAGCACAAAATTAAGTGGCCAGGATATCTTTATCCAGATATTGTACATTTTTCTTTTCGTTTCCCTAGAATAATATTATTGTTCATTACTGCTGTTACCGAATCCTTAGTGAATGAGAGTTCTTTGAAAACCAAATTTTCCTCTGTATTGTGATTTTTTATTATTGACCAGTTTGTTTAGTATTACAATCCGCTGGCTTCGCTCACGTGTAATTCAGAATCAAGTCGATTTTTGTATCTCACAAATTTTGAACATAATAATTACGAACGGGTAATAATCATCGTAATTTGTGACTGTATTTTAGATATTGTTAACTTTTGATGATGTTTGATTTGAACTTCAAACATCATCAAAATATCAAATCATCTAACTTTTGGCTATTTTGATTCGTCAATTGAGTATCTATTAGTCATTTAATATAATATAATATAATATATCTCACACACTCACACACGGCTGTCTGATCCCAAACTAGGCAGAGCCTGTACTATGGTAACCAGACCGCTGATAAACATACTTATATATTTCTAAATACATACATATTATAGATAAACTACACCCAGACACAGAACAAATGACCGTGCTCATCACACAATATTTGTCCTGGGTGGGAATCGAACCCACGACCTCCGGTTTAGCAGTCAGGGTCACTAACCACTAGACCAACAGGCCCGTCAAATTTATGAGCGTTGTAAATCAATTTATGAGCGTTGAATGCTAGTTTATCCAATCCAATTAGAGCATCTAGTAAAAAATATTTTTCAACTTTACCATCATTGAATTTATTTAAAATAGGCTGTTCCATAATACCTAGTAGTAGGAAAAACAGTACACTGGAGCTTAGCATGGCCGTGGTATTATATGCCTTATGACAAGAAGACGAATGTGGCCTATTTAAACATTGTCAAATATTAAATGTTTTCGATAAAGTGAGCGTATGTGTACTAGATGAGGAATACCACAACCTTGCTTAATTGAAGAAAAATATAAGATTGGAGTCACTACGTCACTTGTCATACCTACCCACTTATAGAACAGCTAAGCATACTAATGTATATGGGACGCGGACGTGGGAACACATTCTGCCCCGTATAATGAACAACATACCTATCGAAACCTGTAGCAAGATGAATAAAAAAAATTGTAAAACTGTTTACATAAAATATTTACTGTCTAGCTGATACTCAACTTTATACATATACATATGTAATTAAATTGTAACTGAGATGTGTCTGGTATACCACGGAAAAACTCTTGATGGTTTGTGTGGAATACGATGGATAAAATGCATGTGTGAATTTTATATTAGACAATAAATAATAAAAAAAAACATAGAAGGCAAACGAGTACACGTGTCAACTAGTAGTAAGTCATCTGAACCTGAAACTCAGGAGACACTGCAGACACAGACGTTGCCGCAATCGGAGTTGACCCTCAAGAGAAAGAGGGTCCGATTTGAACTTCGGATGACCTCAATCATTCAATGAAAAGCAACAAAAGATTTGCTTATCACCGGTTATTGTGAGACCCTGCTATCAATCCGGTCCAGGTGGCTCATAGACGCTTAAGCATTGCTCTCCTCATTGTTTTTCGAATCATAAAAATCGATGTACAAAGTTTTCTTTGCGTCCTTCGTTCTAGAACATGATGCTAATAGCCTCAACAACAAATGTGTAGCACTAATTAAAACGATGTCAATGCATAGTTATCTAAACAGAATGCACCACGGCTGTTGTTCTGTAGATGATAATGTAGTAATTTATGTTGCTGCTTACATTGTCTAGTTACTACAAAAATGGTATTACAATAATGGTATGATACGACTGATAATGCGAAGTAGGTTGAAGTGTGTGTTTAGAGTTTTAGTTTATTCTTGGAGATCTAATAGATATTGTACATTAGATTTTTTTCCTTTTTTCTGTGCGGATATTCTCTCGGATACCACCTCCCTGTGGGGTGGTTATTTGGACTCAAACCGACCAAAACCTGCACGCCGTCTCGAGTACCAGTTGCCGGGGAACCAAGTGTACCCTAGAAAGAAAATCCCTGGTACATTAGACTAAGACATTTTTAAATGTGTCATAAATAAAATTCGTATTTAAATTTAAATTATTTTTAATAATTAAACATTTTTTTAAGTTTTCACTTTATTTTTCTTAAAAAGGGCTGGATAATTATTAACATATTTCTCGGTTTCGAAAAACCGAGAGCCGAAACAGCCCTGCAAAGAGAAGGAAAACTTGAAACAACCTCTATACCAACCAGCGTGGTATACAAGGCCAAAAACGTTTTTCTAAGGAGAGGTCAAGGTCCAGCAGTGGACTACTAAAGGATGTTGCTGATGATGCTGACGACGAAAGAAAACACTAGTAATACTATTTTTTTTTATGTTTCTCGAGACATCCATGAGTTTGTAATGTCAGGATAATGTCAATAAAATGTTTTTCTTATTTGCCAATACAACTAGTATAAAAGTATGTTATTATGTATATTAATACAAACGACTTTTTCTGTGTTACAAAGGACTCTTTTGGTCCCAAATGCCCTCCAATTCCGTAGTGGCAATTATGTGTTGGTGGATCTCGTCATTTACATTGTAAATTATCACTTTGTTATACACGGTTTTGCGAACATGCCTTTGTTTCATTTATACTTATAATATGTTTCTCGGTGAATGTATCGTCTACAAGAAAATGTAGGCGGTCGTTCTGAAGTATAATACACCGAAGAGCAATCATTCCGGGTCGGAATATAGGCAAAATTAATATTAAATAGAGTTAATATGAAGTGATCAGTACATAACTCGAGTTACAACCCCATCGAGCATGCTGGAGACGAGCTTGAACGATGCGTCAGGTAATGTTACTCTCCACCCGACCAGGTTTCAAGAGCTTTTCCATTAGAGTCAGAAAGAAGAGAAGCTTTCGAAGTGAAGAAACTTTGTTGCAGCATGGCCGCAATAATGCCAGCCTGTAGAGGTAAGTTAAAGCATTGAAATCAAAGACGACTGTAAATTTATAGAAAAATATGGTGTTGATGATGATAATTAACGTGTGTAGTACGTATAGATATATCTATGTATGACTTAAGACGATATTATAAAACAAATATATATGGAGAATTGACATCAGTAAGGACAAGCAGAACGTAACGTTGGATATTTATAGTATAGCCATTTCTTTGAACGTTTTCGATATTTTATATTTATCTGTTCATCTGTAATCAAGTTATTGTAAATCCCATTTACAATAACTTGTCAAGTGATAATAATAATGGGACCAATAATTTAAATAAATTCCTTATGAAGTCTTACTTTGCATCAGTTTCTATTCTTTCTTGTTTCTTATACTGAAAAGCAACACAGTCCCACGTGTACGCTATATGTACAATGTGATGCATTGTACACATAGCATGGGAATTGAACTCACACCACTCAACTACGAATCTAAATAAAAACGACTACTCCCGCACTTGGAATATATCCTGGTATATAGGACTTTACAAACATACGTGAAACGTACACAAAGAACACCCAGACTCAGAACGGCTCATTCTAAGATTCATTATGAATTTTGTTCGAATATTACAACCATATCACTGTTCAATAAAATAACTAGAGTAGAGAATTACAAAGAGAATATTTAATAGCAGTAGTGCTTTAGTAATTACGAAGCTATTTTTGTTTATAAAATATATTCCGTATGGAATAAAAATAAAGTGAATGAATTGAATGGCCTTTCAGGCAAAGACTTTGAAATGATTAATTAGCGTCTTTTAATATGTTTGCTGGATCTTGTTTTTATTTACCTGAGTTAAATAAATTTATTTTTTGACTACGAGCCTAGATTCTTGCATTCATAAGCTTTAAGAAGTACTAAGAAAACTTAATATACTTTTGTTAAGATGTATGGTGGGAGAGCCATGCTTCGGCACTAATGAGCCGGCTCGACCGTAGTTATACCACGGCCTCACGGAGAACCGGTGTTAAGCAATTCTTTCGTTGCCTTTAACTGAGTGAGTGAGGTTACCGGAGTCCAAATCGTCCCACCCGCTGACTCGAGCGGGAGGGACTCCAAGGGCGGCAACGCACTTGTGACTTTTGAGTTGCAGGTGTCCATGGGTGGCGGTAGTTGCTCACCATTAGGTGACCCGTCTGCAAGGTTTCCCCCTTATACCATAAAAAAAGAGTATGAAAGTTTAATTTTTTTACTAGCTGGTACCCGCGACTTCGTTCGAGTGGAATTTGAAAAGCGCTGCCTCATTGGTGTACTACGGTATGCCACTGCAGTCTATGAGGCCTCGGGTTTGATGCTCGGACCAGGCAAAACTAAATAGGCTTTTTTTTAGAGGAGAAATTGCATAAGTTAGTCCTCATATAGACAGCTACCTGGTAGTAATATATTATCAAAATCGGTCCAACCGTTTTGAAGATTACCCGAAACAAACAGATGGACAGACAAATAATATTTAAACTGGTTTTTAGGCATAGGTATCTAGTAAATAACCGTGTAAGCAAAAAAAAAACTATTATTTTGATATTACAAATAAACACTCCTATTTTATTTTTCGTATATATATATGTATTTTATAAATATATAAGTATGTTTATCAGCTGTATGATTACCACAGTACAGGCCCCGCTAGTTTGGTATTTGACGGCCATGTGTGAGCTTATTATTATTAATATAGGAGATCTCAATTCATCATCATCATAATTAAAATTGATTGTTGAGTCTGATCCATTCGTCTTCGATGCAATGATAACACACCTTAATACTTACTGTACAGTGAGTGTATACCTTTACTGTGACGAACAACATGCCGACAAGAGGAAAAGTAATTGGGCCTTAAGGCTATTAACAATATAGGTCCCTCAGGAGAAGTACGTTACGAGGACCTTAATTTAAAACGTTGATTAACCTCTATTTGGATAGCACTGAAGATTACTTTCATTTTGTATCTATTTATCTATCTATATACTTGTATCTTATATACTTATATCTATTTATCTTCTTATATATAAAATTCTCGTGTCACAATGTTCGTTCCCGTATGTACTCCTCCGAAACGACTTGACCGATTCTCATGAAATTTTGTGTGCACATCGGGTAGGTCTGAGAATCGGCCAACATCTATTTTTCATACCCCTAAATGGTAAGGGTGACCCATCCCTAAATATTTTTTTTAGGCAAAGCAACGTTTGCCGGGTCAGCTAGTCTATCTATATACTTATGTAGATAGATAAATAGATATTTCACATCATCAGCATCACATCAACAGCCTTTAATAGTCCACAGCTGGACATAGGCCTCTCCTTACAAAGGAGGTTTTGGCCTACTACCACGCTGGCCATACACACTTCTCGTATAGGGTTTGTGTCAAGTTTACCTTCTTTTTGCAGTGCTGGTGACGTTGTTTTGCGCGGAATGAATTGGGGTAGTGACATTCCGTATAGATATTTATAAAAAAACATTTTTTTTGTATTCCATTTTATAAGTATAAATAGTTCCAAATGTTTATTACGCACATCAATATATGGGGTGAGGTGTTATAATATTTATGGAAAGAGAATAAGGGTGCTGTTGTATGTTTTGTGCATTTACTGTGAAGCGGTAATGTCCACGTATGTCTGGACGTTGCCTAAATGAGATTTTTTACCTGAATGCCGGTACCCGGGGAACAAAAGGCTCGGAATCCCTCCTAAATGAGGTGCAGTATGGCACACCGTATGGTCAGTCAATTCGGTTGTGACACCTTCGCAGACTCCGGTAGGGTGACAGCTTATGGTCGTTTCCACACGTACAAAATAAACCAATTCACGTTGGAATTTGAATATTACAGAGGTTGGTAGCAGTAAACAAACCCAACCGATCCGCAATACGTTACCGCGATTTATATCACGTGGTGTTTAACCACAGTGCTCTAGAACATGGATCACTTTAGAACAATGATGAACATTAGTTCACACCGGTTGCCTTAACTTCAGCAATTAAAATAGGCTAGTGAAAAAAAAACAGCTTATCTTACTTAGAATCGGAAATATAGAAAATTAAAGTTATAAAAACATGAGAAGAGTTAAAATACTGCAAATCTGTTTAACAAAACATTTTTTATTTGGGGAGGGGGGGGGGGGGGGGGCAGACGCGCAGACGAATTACCTGATGGAAAGTGACCACCGCCGCCCATGAACGCCTACACTCTTTTCTTGAAGGAAAAAAGGCAAGTGATAAATCGTTCAGTCAGACTCGGAACAGCTTTTTTTTTAAATAGAATCATCAATTTACTTATACTAACATACCGCCCGATCATATCATTCTTTACTGATAATATATTATTATATTATGACGACTTATGTTAATATTTCAACAAATTTCAAAGCTTTCACAATACTATTATGAGAACAAAACATTACGGTATTGCGTTTCTATGTACACATGCCAACGTTGCGGTCATAATAAACTATAACACCTAAATTTTATTATTTCAGTTAGTTACGAGTCAATTGAATGAAATGCGTTATTGAGATGATTGGTGCTGTTGTGTGCGATAACAATAAAACTGTATTGTTTGTTAACATCGCTCTCGTTCTACCGTTTAAATTCGTATAACTCCTGTTGTAGATTGAAGCTGAGTAGTTCACACAATGTCCAACTACAGGGCTTAATACTGTCATTAGTTTTTAAACATCGTTAGCAGCAGTCATAGTTTAATGTTAAATTATTGTTAAGCAATTGAAAAGGTATGTGGACGTAACATTAGCGACGGAAATTCTCAATTTTTTTGCAGGTATTTGCATCGGAAAGATCGTTTTTTTAGTTCTGAGACTGTGGACGAATAATTGTTATTTCCAACATAAATAGAGGGTCTTCCAAACAAGCTAGGTGATCACGCCTGGCAGCAGCGCAACTCTTTATATTAGGACGTTGTATCTAATTGATACAAAAACTAGGCATGACTGTGCCCTTACGGTTCTCTGCTAACCTCTATTCACTTGAGGTTTGCTGGAAGAAAACTCAGTTTTGGCTTAAACTCGCCTTTGTACATGGCATTACCTTGTGATTTATATTGTGTCTGGTGTACGATAAGGAAAAAATGAAAATAAAATGAACTTTAATTGCGTGATACAGTATCAATACTTACTGTGTAGTTAGGCCCGTTTTCGCTAGATGGCGCTAAAGAATAAATCGAATAATTGTATCGGCCGGACGTTTTCGGCGTTGCGATTGGTGAAGACTCGGGTTAATTGTAACTCCGAACGCGGTCCGTGCATGACCCCTGATGATTAAAATACAATAGTGGCTACATAGTATTTATGTCTGGTGATACTATTTAACAACAAAATGTTCGGCAGTAGGTATATGTATTGCATTAATGTTACTATTTGATAGAAGATCCAGATCTAATGTTTATAAACGTTGCCTAAAGATTGAGAAAACATAGGCGCTGAACTATTAGCAGAACCTCTGTTAAATAAATTATGTTAATCATTAGAAGCTGTTTGTTAAGAACGTGATTCTAGTTTATTATTACAACCATTATGCTTACATAACACAGGTTCAAGTACGTTTAGTATCAGTTTTGGTTGCTCCACTTTTGTTGTAGGTACAGTATCAACAATTCGGTAAGTAAATAGCGTAAAGTAAATATATTTAATTGAGTTGGGCGCCATTGTTTCAAAATGGCCTACTTATCTGGTTGGATTAAGCTAACATATCTTTACTAATGTAGGTACGTTGAGGTTTTAAGGAATACTTACGAATTAAGATTATTTTCTGAAGTTAAAACGAAGTGAGATGGGAATTGAAAACACTCAAAATGTTCTACTCATTGTTTGTGCAGAAAATTCTTCAATAAAATCCCAGATCGATTCAAAGAACTAACCTTAAATAAGTTTGTCCCAGCCCTAACAGATTGGTTAATTACTAATACATTTTATTCAATCAAGGACTTTTCGAATGGCGGAGAGTAGTAGGTATAATGAATAAAAGTTAAATTATAATCAGTACACAAAAACTCATGAATAATGACAATAATAATTTATCCAATCCATAAGTTTTTTAAATAAAGTGTTAAATTTGCATGCTATTTTTATGGCTAAATGGGCCTGTTGGCATTATATTAACCTTTAATACCACAATATGTACCACCCCATTTATAGCAAATATATAATTTGAATTTGAATGCATCGCAGAGGAATGTGACATACTGCATAATAATTTAAAATATTTCTTCTTATAAATATTGGTCTGATATTATTTCAATATATTTTGTAGGGTTTATAGGGATCGAATCCATAACACTCAAACCTACCGCTTAAACCACTAAGCCATCCGTGCAGTATCTTTTCTTTATTTACTACCGATTTACAATAAATAATTACATGTATCATGATTTTTTAAGCAAGTCTGGCACTTCGAATTTCTTAACTGTAAGAGAGCCATGGGCTCGACCTGAATGATACCAGCAGTGCTATTCTCTAAGGAAACAGGGTTGCGTACATCGCTGCTACAGCATCGAACTTCAAAATAAGTTCATTTGTTTTTAGCGGTGGAAACCCCTTGGACCGTTACCGAGGTTTGCGGCGGGGTGGTGTGTCGGAATCGGACTGACTTAAACCACACGGTGTGCCACTCCGCGCCTGAGATAAGAGGGATCCGGGAGAGCTTCCAACCCCAGCTCTTGCAGCTTGGAGACTGTCTGTTGCGCAGTATGGGGTCGCGCGTTGTCGTGAAGGAGCAGTGGGGACGACCGATTGACCAAAGCTGGTTGCAGATGTGACCACCAGACCTTGACCTACCGACTTGATATTTTCTTAAAAAAGACAACTTCCGCATTAGGAATATATATACTGTGTCGAAGGGGACTTTACAAACATCCAACAGGTAAACCGTCTGCTTATTTGCTCCTATACCGTAAATGCTGCGTAAAAAGGCGAAATGTACGAAGACTCGATCCTCCAGTCAAACCATCAACCCGGTTTTGGGGGGCAAAATAAGGTCACGTCACCGCCTCCCCTCACCTCAAGTATATGAATATGTATTTATGTAATGTATTATTAGTTAATATATGGAAATTGTGAATGCGCACATACGCTACATATTACTATATAGTATAATATAGTATAGTCCATATTCGAGTAAAGGTTGCCTCGAAGAGATCGCAGACTGCGTTATAAGGACGGCCGCCCATTAAATCAAATTCAATCAAATTAATTTTCGTTTGTATTATACATTGTGTGTATCCTAATTACGGTGTGCAATAAGAGTACTCTATTACCTATTATTACTGCGCTGAGTATTGTTGGTTCGATCCCTACATAGGACAACACTTTGTGCTATCCACAAATTGTTGTTCTCAGTCTAGGTGTTATTTGCGTCCGTTTCATGTATGTCAGTGAAGTCTCCCGCGACACAGGATATATTCTTAGTGCAGGAGATACAAAAAAAACCTTGGGAGGAAAGAGAAGATAAACAAGGCAAGGCTATAAGTTTATAGCACATAACTTTGTACGCTTTAAATTATAGCCGTCTAAATACAATGAGCAATAACTTAAAGTGCGTAAAACCAATTATTTACGACTAATATGTATTGTCTTGCGTCACCCATTCATTGCAGCGTAACTGCCGTGGTATTCATATTGTTCACATAAATTAATTACGCATGGGTCGATTATTAAGTTTGAGATAGAGTCATTGATCTTTTAGAAGTATGGCACGATGGTTAGACGTCGTATAGTTTGATTCCCCTTGTTTGCAAAATACTTATTTGCTCAAGTATTCCAGGACTGCTACATAGATGTGACTGAACAATACGTTTTAAAATCAAAGAAATACTTTGACTAAACCAACGAAATAACTAGAAATGGCTACTTCATTACATGTATGCTTTGAAAATGGGTGCGAGGGGTATACTAGCTAAATCCTTCTGTAACTTTCTTAAAGATCTTGAATTGCCAAGAGTTTCAGTGCGCTCTTTTCATGAACAATTATTCAAAGTGGCATTATTAGGCTCGTATAAAACCGTAAACAATATGGTTAGGTAGATGGGGTAACACAGAAGACAGTGAAGTGAGCGCTGACGCGTCGCATGAAGCTCTCTCTAAACCTACTCCTGTGTCGCAATTCCCAGGCACAGTCGCATATGTTGCCCCCATCTATCACGCGATTTATCCGGTACTCGCACAGTGAATCCATGGAAGGTCAAGTAATAGGTCTAAATATTTAAAAAAAATTGACAAAATCGGCATTCACGTGAGTGAAGCCGCCGGTTTACGTTACTGATCCTGTATCGCACTATTAAGGTTCTTGTTCATTGCATCTACGATTTTCTAATATTAACCCTTGCAATACGGCCCGTCTTACAAGACTACCTAACCTGATTGGATCCTACACACGAAGAACCAACTTATATTCCACCAATTTCTTCAAAAATACATGATACTTGGCCGCCATTGTGGATTGGTTGATTTATATTTGGATGTAAGTAATTAACCCCAAACCCAATATACTGTACCTAGCCATTAATATAGATATAAACCTATTTATTAACACTTAAGTAACAGTTGCTCGGAGTAAATACGTTTACAACTTGATATATAAACGGCAGCCATTTCTTATGATCGAAACTACATGCGCTCTAGTTGGCAGATTAATAACTTCGTAATGACTTTTGAACGACTGCTTTGTACCGAAATATAAATTAGCAAAGGATTACTTTAAGAGCGACGTAGAATTTATTAATAAGGTTGTATTTTAAGGCAATACGTTCTCTGAATCTTGGTCTCACTAAAATGTAGAGGATTTCCATTGAACCACTATTAGAAAAGCATCTGGCGATAACAATCTATGGTCACTTTATTCCTGTTTTCTTAACTATTTGAAAACCAACGCTTATATGAATACTATTGTCTATGTGGTATCGGATTAAAAATACGGAGTGTCAAAACCCCTATTCATCCCGTGGGAGTCAAACAATGCAGAACAACAGCACTGCAAAGAGAAGGAAAACTTGACACAAACCCTATACCAACCCGTCTGGTCAGCGTGGCATAGTAGGCTAAAACCTACTTTAAGGCCTAAGGCCTCTCCTTAGAAATGTTCATTAGTAGAATATTAAAGGCTTTTCATGATGATGATGATGATATCCACCCTTGCGGATGACAATCGTAACTATTTTGAATGTTTTTTTTTATTACTTACCTAATAAATAAATATCTGGCGACCAAGGTGTTTTTGGTAGCACTGCCCCGCAACGGTTTTAATGATTTTAATGTTTGTTTTCTTATATTTGGTAGGTATGACAATAGGTCGTTAAGTATTTTTCGTTAAACAAATATGATTTAACAACGAACAAATAATGTTCCGCTGACCAGATTGTATATCTATATAAATAAAGCTCAATCTATTGGACTCGTCCTAACGATTCAAATTCACCCAAACCCGAAGGGTTTAATGATGAGACCCGACGGGCTGCGGAGCGGGCGCGCCTTTCGTTGGCAGAAAGGGAACATCGGGGTTCCCACACAGAAGGGGGTCACCTATAAGCCGTAGACGGCCCAAGATACGTCGGGGTACCAGCGATCTCCTTTCTAGGGTACACCTGGTTCCCCGGCAACTGATACCCGAGATGGCGTATGGTTTTAAGTCGGCTCCCCACCGGTGGGCGGTACCCGAGGGGATTCCCAAACAGAAAAAAATGGTTAAATGATAGCTACTGAAGAATTTCACCAACCACCTCCATCATTAGTTCAACTAACAAATGTCTTCCTAATTACATCCACGAATATACAACAGTTAGAAGCAGAAGAAATAGGGTGAAATTAACTTTCAAAATTGGTTTTACATAGTTAACAAGTCAAGCTAATAAAATCGAGTTAATAACGATAAAATAATAAAACTACATTAATACTTTGGCACTTACTGTTATTTATATTTCATTTATTTATTTATTTTACATTTAAAATAAATAGGCATTTCAATCACATTAATACATAAGACAAACATTGAATACAAACTATAATTTAAACAGACTTCATAACAATAATAATGTAATACAAATAGTACATATTACATTTAATTTATTTATATTTTCTAGTGGCACTTGTGATAATAATAACTTCAGATTTCTTGTTAAACCGTAGTAAGTTTTAACTGCAATCAAGCAACGATCAAGATACGTGACGGAGCAGAAAGAGATGTTCGCAATTTTTTACGTAACTGTCGCAAACAAAATTTTTTTATCAAATATTAGAATGAAATAATTTGAAAAGATTGTTGCGCTCATTTTACTGGCAAATTAGGAAATCAGAAATAATGAATTTGATTATGAGGTTGTTATTAAAAGTTCGATTAACCACAGTCTGAGCCGACAGTATTATAATCAATATAATTATCGATATTTCTTAAGTTTTTGATAAATTATTTTTGCATAGCTAATAGACTTTTCCGTCTGAATCTGTTAAATTGTCGCCTCCTTTATTCCACCATTAATACTAACCGATTTTGTAATGACTGACAGGGACTAAAACCAACTTTGTCACATAAAATATCGGCAACATTTATAAACTTTAAAAGGACTAAGTTAAAGAACCCTAATGATAAACAACTTGAACTGGGTGAGCAATTTTATATTTACTTAAGCATTTTTAAAGTATCTCGTCTTCAACATTTAAAACCAAAACGTTACCTTACTCAGTCACTTACATACAGAACCTTTGCTAATTCTTCTTACGAGGACCCTTCTCTACACAAAACTTTCAGGAAACTCATAGTCAACGCTTTTCGACTTCTGAAAAGCCACAACACAATCGACTTTTATCTTCTGATACGCAACAAATTTCTTCTCACAATCCATACTTCTAGCTTTGGCGCTGTTTATTAAGACGCTTCGTCTTAGAGAGTGGTTACGGTCCACTTCTATGTCGGACCTAATATTTCTACTATTGGAATGACCGATAAACTGTCCAGTATCATCTCCTTGACAATCTGTACTATCATCATTAGTATCTACATCGATAACTTCAGATATTTCAATGTTGCCTTCGCTCCTCATTCGGTTAATTTTTGGCGCTGTATTTGAACAAACAGGTGCCGACTGTTGTCTAATAAATGTTTTACTAGCAAATATTCTGTCGAATATACCTTTTTCTACTTCATCCTTGCTTTCAGACTCCGTCTCAGTACGATCGATGCTACTTCTGTGGCTAAATAGCTTTTTTAAGCTATTCGTTGTTCTCGTTAAGCTGCTACTTGTCGTAGAACCATTTGTAATCGTTCTTTGTGCTCTTCTAGCCTTAATTTCTAATTTCTTCTTGTAACAAATACATACCTTACAAAAACCTATGCGGAACTTTGAAGACATTAAATTGTAAAGTATTGGGTTTATCGCAGAATTTATGTACAGCATGACTCTTGAGAAATAAAGTATGTTGTACCATTTCTCTGGACTCATATCATCGTAATGCTCTGAAGGTGTCATGATGATCCATAAAGTTAGAGCCCTGTACGGCATGAGACACAGAAAGAAACACAATACTACTGTCCCTAGCATTAATATAACTTGTTTCCTTGCTCTGGCGTTGTAGGGATCGACGGTTTTATTCATAACTATTTTAGATGCTGCAGTAATTAAATTTTTGGCAATAACGCTGTATAATACGATTAAAATTATAAGTGGAAGGACATAGAGGAGTATTATGACGGCTACGAAGAATGTGATCTGCCAGTAGTTGATGGCTTGTGTGAGGCATTGCGAGTAAGTTGTACCGTCGACTCGAGTTGTGGTGTGGTGCTCCGCAATTGCCAGGATTGGACTGAAAGAGAATAAACACTAGATAAACATTTGCAAAGTTACAAATAAATATCTACACATAGACATGATTCTACATACATAAATGAAAACTAAAGATGTCGTAACAAATGGTACTCTACTACTTACTAAATACAGTTTCAAATAAATTGACAAAAATATACCAAATGAGTGTCATTTATCTTTTATGCAATGGATAGTTTGTTTTATTAATCTTTCAACAATGTTAATTTTAACCAGACATTACCTGATATATAGTTCCCTAAAGATTGTTCAACAGCTCATTCAAAATAATAAATACTGGCACATATTTCTCTTAAAAATTTATTACGTTGAACGTAGCATTGATATGCCCTATTAATATTGTTCACTGTCAAACTCTGTGGTTTTATTAACTTACAAAACTCCAAACATTAACTTTCTCGTAAAATGGGTATGTAGGAAATATATTTGTCTAATTGTTTTTTCATAACTTTATTTTATATTTTTTTATAAATATTTATTTGCAGTGTTTTTTTTGTTATTGACTTTATACCTACATCATTATTAATTATAATAAATTGTAGTCTCCATTACTTGATTTTCTACTGTTAGAGTGGTATTTTTTTACAAATTTAAATAGGCAGTGTAAAAGATTTTGCAAATCTTTCGATAAGCAACAAAGTTCAGAGTATTAATACCCGAAATGAGAACGCCACATTTCTTTGAATTCGTTAAAAAAAGCTCAGCTGAACAGCTAAAATAAATAAAAACTTTTTAAACAATTTGCTTTAAGACGCTGTGATTATAAAATTTAAATAAGATGTCATCAAAATGTATGTAAACTGCATAGATACTCGTAGCTCACATAGGTATAGTATAAAGCGTTAAAATGTTACCTGTTTAACTGCCTTGAGGCATTTCATTTAGTCAAACACGACAATTACAAATCGTTTCTTTTAGCTCAGATCATTTATGAAAACTATTAAGTAAAACCGTTAATTATTTCGTCTTATTGATGATGACGAATGACTAAAATTATTTTATGTTTATTGTTTCTTCTAATGGTCGTTCTGTCTCGACGAACGGAAAGTGGAATATCCATATTTAGCCGTCGTTCTTAATGAGTTTTTGTTTTATGACAGGGTCAAACTAGAAGGTGGGTCACCTGGTGGTAAGTGAATACCCACCACCCATGGACACATGAAACTCAAAAGTCACGGGTGCGTTACCAGCTATAAACTTGAGACTTGTCTATGGTCGGTATGTGGAGGATGTTGAAATGATAGATACCAGGTTTTGAAATAGGACAGTCGCCTTGCAGTCAAGCTAAATGCTTGCTGGACTGGGTGGAATTCAAACTCGTCAGTGCTTGATCATAAATCCACCGGTTTCGCCATAATTTTATGCGGTATTTATTATTAGGACTTATAACATTGTATGACTTGTTTAATTTCGAAATGAGTCGAGTCGAATTCGAGTAGTTATTTATAAACAAGGATCATATTTTTAAATTTGATTTAAAAATGGTAATGATGTTCTGGATGAAAGTATTTTATGTCATATGCTATAAATAATTCATTTAACTTCAAATTTATCCACAAATTTTCCAAAACGAAATGTATCTATCTAAAGTTTTTTTTTTTTTTAACTTTTCAAATTTATTTATTTGCTGTTTTAACTAGTATCTTTAGTACTTCGCAAATAGCTGGACAAAGGCATTTACGAATACGTTCGTAAATATATACGTACTAACAATTTCAAATGAGGTGTATAGTTTGGAGTTTTGTATAGTTACTTTAAATTAATAAACCTTAAAGGTATATTCATCCATATTGAATAGAAAATTTTACGAGTACTGTAATAAATTCAAAATGTTATTATGAATTTGATACTTGACATCAAACATTTCAACAAGAAACTAAAAATAATAAATATAATGTAAAATGCATGCAATGAAAATAAAACAAAATCACAACAGTAAATATCCCAAGTAAAAACATACTTAGCACACATTACAAACTTAATCTTCTTTCCTCGTAAACTAAGTTCATAAAATTCTAGAAATTTCGTTCTCTTTTCTTTTAATTTGACGGGCCTGTTAGACTAATGGTCAGTAGTCCTGACTGCTGTGCTGGTCGTGGGGTTTATTCCCATGATTCTCAGAAATATAATTTTATGATGAGCCCAATCATCTGTTCTATGTCTCGGTGTAATTGATCTACAATATGTATACATACATACATATAGCTATGTTTAACAGTAGTCTAATTACCATAATACAGAATCTGTCTAGCTTGAGATTTTAAATATTTAAACTGTAGGTAGAGTCATTGTCGTCAAAATGTCGTTGTACTAAATCATTTTTAGCCCGTATGATGCAATAAAATGTAATGTGTGCTGAGTATGTTTCCAACATTGAGGTGAACAAACAGACAAGTAAAGCGTGTTTACAGCATAGCCGTCACGTACACTCAGAACGTTAAGCGTAAACCATACGAACCTTGTTTCTTAAAGGTTTTTGTTGTCGCTTTCATACCACTAGTGATTATAGCCTTGAATAAAATCTATTACACACTAAATTGAGTACATTTTCACTTTTTACATTCAAGTATAAGATCTTAGCTCTTCATCTGAAGTTCTTTAATTATGTGTAGTTCTTTGTATCTGGTATTATATTAATTACAAGTGTGTTAATTTTGTTTATGTTAATTTATTAATTTGACAGGTCTGTTGGTGTAGTGGTTAGTGACCCTGACTGCTAACTCGGAGGTCGTGGGTTCGATTTTCACACAGGACAGGATATTGTGTGATGAGCACGGTGGTTTGTTCTGGGTCTGGGTGTAATTTATCTATAATATGTATGTATCTATTTAAAAATATATTAGTATATTTATCAGCAGTCTGGTTACCATAGCACAGGCTCTGCCTAGTTTGGGATCAGACTTCCGTGTGTGAGATGTGTGAGATATATATATATATATATATATATATATATCTCATCTTTTAAATTTGAATTTATATATATATATATATATAAATTCAAATTTAATAGATGAGCGGGAAATCTCTGTAGTGTGTGTAATATTAGAACAGCGATATGATTTTAATATCATAGTGGGTGAAATTGGTAAAAATAATTATAATAATTCCAGTTCTCCTAACTTAATAATAGACAGATGTTGCTGAGCAGTTTGTTCCACCGCACTGCTTCTTTTTCTCAGCAAAAATACTAGGAAGTGGTTCCAAGTTGGGCGTTTTTGAAAACTGTCTTTATGTAAACAATGACGTTCAAAAATTGCCGGCATTTAGCCTAATTTGAATATGAATGACGAAAAAATGGTCAAAACTTAACTAGTAACAGTTAAAGTTTGTATGTGTTTGCCATGGAACATATGTTTTCTAAATGTTTTTGAGTCATAAATTCAATGATAAAATTCAAATGCTCGTAATTTCAGTCGATATAGACAATGACACACACACACATGACACCTGTATAATTAAACAGCAGTAGCAGTGTGGTTACGGATTAAGAATACAGAGTGTCACCACCCCTATTCACCCCGTGGGTGTCGTAAGAGCCGACTAAGGGAGCAAACTAGGCAAGACAACAGCATTGCAAAGAGAAGGAAAACTTGAAACAAACCCTATACCAACCCGTCTGGCCAGCGTGGTATAGTAGGCCAGAACCTCCTTTCAAGGAGAGGCCTATGTCCAGCAGTGGACTATGAAAGGCTGTTGATGATGATGATGAACAAAGCCCACAAAACAAAAAAATGTGACATACTGTAAACCAACTTTTCAATTGGAAATATAAAGCAGTAGTTTTCTAATAAAAACCATTCCGTTCCTTCATTCAGTATAATAATTGAACTGGACGAACGACGCGCGACGTCCGATATGGCAGCGAAAGATTTATTGAAAAAGGGCCATCTATTATTTAAACTCGGAACCAATATAGAGCGGATGTCGCCTGTGTCTTCAATAAGCTGTGGTATTAAAAATTCTTTAGAATAGAGAAACTGCACTAGTCGTCTTGTACCAAGAATTCTTTAACAAAGAATCCTTTATTGAGGGCGGTAGACAAATGTTCTAGTTTTCAGACTTTCAGATAATAAATTGGTACCAGTTCGTGTTATATATATTATAACGACGTGATACTATTTGCCTTAGAAATATTTAGAGAAATGCAGACGGTTTTAGGAATAAACGTGAAACACACAAATTTGCAGACACAGGAGGAATATTAGAACTGAATTTATAAAAATAATATGTATTCTTGCTATGCGAGAAATATACTTTGCTTTACGTTATTAGCTATTAAAAGTACTGACTTTTAAAGAGAAGTTATTTTTTCAAATTGTTTATAATAAAGAGTTTGTGGACGATAAACCGCAAGGATTTTGCAAGTAACGTTTTGACGAGTATTCAACTCTACGTACCGCAATATATTACAGTCGGTCCGCTGTAAAAGTATAAACTTAATGAGCAATATGTCCAGGAGCAGTATAAAATATCCTAAACTTAAGTTTTATAGAAGTGGATATATTTGTGTTTGTATAACCAGCTGTATTTAGGTCACAAGGGTTGTAGAAAAATATTATAATCTTTATTAGTTTGTTAGAGGGATTTTTAGAACTTGCTAATGGTGAACTGAGGATAATTTAACTGAATTTGGAAGACATGAATTTGGACTTCATTTTAATGCAATTGACTGGGAAGATTATGAATTTAGCTGGTTTTTTTTAATTTAGAAAGATAATAATATCTCACAAATTTCTTGAACAGTTTGGAATAGTTTTTGTACGCGTGCATATTATTTTGGATATATCAATATGGTCGACAAAAAAATTAAGAAATTTTATGATATTTTTTGATAATGGAGATTAACTTTAAAGGTGGATGTTTGTTTCTATCTAAAAAGAATTTAAACCCTAAAATTTTTGGTCTAGCTCGGTAACTACGCACGTAGTTACCGAGCTAGACAAAAAATTGAAGAGCGAATGAGACAAAAATAAAGTGCTG